TTTTTTGAACAAAGCTCCATCTATTGGTGGGGAGCAACACCTGCTGGAAACCGGGTCCAACGTCCCATAGATACAACCTTATCCTCACAAATTGGCACGAGCTGGGAATCGGGACCAGCGTCCCATACCAAGTACCTTCAGGAACCTCACCAAGAACTATCATGGAAATAAGACCAGCAAAAACCCTCGAAAATTCTACTACTGATGATACTAATGATACCAGTGATGATAACAAAGGAATCTAGCTACTCGTGCTGAATCCTAATCCTGAGCAACTCCAAGCCTTCCTTTACCAGGATATTGCAACTCTGGACCAAGACAAACCTATCCCCCCGCTGCCTTAGCTGATCTCTTCTCACTACCCAGGCTAACCCCGCCCCATGAGTTGTCAAGGTAGCCCCCCCTAGTTCACCACATCGGCAATCCAGGAGCACAGAACAAAGCAACTTCAGCAGTCATCAGTCTAGGTTCGACAATCCCTGAATTCTGTATCCTAAATAAAGAACAAGACCAGGTGCTGTCTAGATTGTAAGGCCACAGATGGCATCGAATTTATTAGATCGTGAAGAAGATACGATTCCATTGGTGACAACTCAAACCAATCCACACCCACTATACCCTGTCTCATGCTGCCTCCACCGAGGAAAATCCCTCGGCCCCAACGTAGAACAGATCCCCTCCCCTCCCTCCACCTCATCTGCGAAGGCAACCAATCCCCTCCTAGAGGCTGCCTTTGCCCACCCCTTGTCCCTGTCTGCCCCGGCTGGGGTTGAAGGCGACCAACTCTCCAACCCTGGCCCCCGACTCAGACAATCCCCGATCTGCCCTACTCCCAATAGGGCTATTGCCTCCCACCATGCAACACCCTTGTAGAATAAGGCTCCCCTGTAACAAACCCCAGGGTTTCTTTTTCGGGGACAGCTAACTAGTAGTCTATACCCACAACTGGCCAGCCCTATCTCTCCTTCCCCTAGCTTCCCCAAGGCCAGGCGGAGCCCACGCTGACAGTCCTACCTCCCTTCCCCTGGTTTGTCCCCTAACTTAGGCCAGGCGGTTCTCAGACCTGCTGTGGGTAACTACCGTATATCTGTACCCTGGGGTCTCAAAACTCCCCCCTGCCTACCAAAGTTCCAGCCATAACCCCCGAAATCCTATCCCCCCTAAAACGTCTGCAAAATTCAATGTTCGAAATCCCCACTCAGGAACAAGAAAATCGTGAAAAAACAGAAAAAAGAAAATGCGCCTCACCCCACTCGGGGGGACAGGCAGAGCAAAACCTACTAGTGAAATTACTGAGCAATCCCAACCTGAACATATTTGTCTGATGTTACTACTGCAAATAGTAGTAATCAAGAGGTATGTAATCAAGAAGCAGGTAATCGAGATATAGGTCATCAAGATATGGGTGATCTAGATATAGGTAATCAAAATATAGCTCATCAGGATGTAATTATTAATGGCTATTGGATAATTGGGTAACCAAAAACGGTACCCTGAAACCGAAAAGTTTTCAGATGATATTAATATTGATGATGGTAGTGATGGTGATGGAAGTATTATCGAGAAGTAAGTAATCGAGATCTAGGTAATCAAGATATAGGTGATCTAGATATGAGTAACCAAGATGTAGCTAATCGGGATGTACGTGAAGTCGAAAACGGCACCCTGAGACTAAACGATTTTCAGATGATTGATGATGATGATGATGATGATGATGATGATGATGATGATGGTGATGGTGATGATACTGATTTCGAAGATGATGATGATGATGATGGTTATGACGACGACGACGCCCAGCGCCCTGCAATCACCAAAGGATGATGGTGATGATAACTCACCTCCTGTTGATGACGTTGGTGCTGCTGCTGGTGATGATGATGACGAGCAGCACCCTACAGATGATAATCCCGACAACCCTTGATGATGATGCGCCCAACGCTCAGGTGATGATGATGATGACGATGATGATGATGGTGATGATACTGATTTTGATGATGATGATGATGATGATGATGATGATGATGATGATGATGATGATGATGATGATGATGATGATGATGAAGAGGACAACGCACAGCGCCATGCGATCACAAAAGGATGATGGTGATGACAATCCACCTCCTGTTGATGACATTGGTGCTACTGCTGGTAATGATGATGACGAGTAGCATCCTACTGATGATGATCCCGACAAACCTTGATGATGATGCGACGCGATGATAATGATGATGGCGGTGACGAACCGCTCCCTGACAGTGATGATAACGATGATGATGATGATGATGATGATGACGGATGATAGTGACGACAAATCACCCCCTTGACGCTGTTGATAACGAAACTCAGCTTGATGATGAACAGCGCCCCTTGCCCTGATGATGATGATGACGAACAGCGCCCCTTGCCCTGATGATGATGACGCCCATCACCCTGAGAACCACGCACACGATGACGTTAGTGCTGCTGCTGGCGACGATACTAACCAACCATGATGGTGATGATGACGAGCATCAACTCAATGACGAACAGCGCCCAGCACTCTGATGATGATGGCGCCCAGCGCCCTGATGAAGGTGATGATGAGCCACACCCTGCTGCTGCTGTTGCTGCTGCTGCTGATGCTGATGATGCTGATGATGATGATGATGATGATGATGAGAATGATGATGATACGGCGCCGTAATGATCACGAAAAAATGATGATGGCAATAAACGAAGACACCGGTGATAACGGGCAGTCACTTCACTCACACTTCACTCGCACTTCGGGTTGCCCAAAGCTCTCTCCGCTGCACTCCACAGGCGTCACCAGAGGCGACACCTCACAGGCTCTATGCCACGGGCAGAAACGCAGCAGCAATGCAGTATGGACGCGAAACTCCCAGGAAGCCCCCGGGAGTCAGTCTAGTTCTCCCTATCAACTCGTGATACGGTGTAGACCAGCACCTTTGCTCCCCGCGCGTGCGCAAAACGCTTAATAGGTAGTCGCTGTAAGCTCGACACCCTGTCCCGTAACTCCCCTTAACCCCACCAGCGTCTCCATCACGCCATCGCCCCGCCTTAGTTCGTTCGTATGGATACTTCAAAGCGAGAGCGATGCAAGCCGGGCACCCTCCCGCTTCGCCGCCTCACTCCGCCGCCGCGGTTGATGCCGGGGCGCAGCGCTCCCGGTAGCGCCTGTCTCTTATACACATCTAGATGTGTATAAGAGACAGAATTATACCAGTGATGATAACAAAGGAATCTAGCTACTCGTGCTGAATCCTAATCCTGAGCAACTCCAAGCCTTCCTTTACCAGGATATTGCAACTCTGGACCAAGACAAACCTATCCCCCCGCTGCCTTAGCTGATCTCTTCTCACTACCCAGGCTAACCCCGCCCCATGAGTTGTCAAGGTAGCCCCCCCTAGTTCACCACATCGGCAATCCAGGAGCACAGAACAAAGCAACTTCAGCAGTCATCAGTCTAGGTTCGACAACCCCTGAATTCCTGTATCCTAAATARAGAAGAAGACCAGGTGCTGCCTAGATTGTAAGGCCACGGATGGCATCGAATTTAKTAGATCGTGAAGAAGATACGATTCCATTGGTGACAGCTCAAACCAATCCACRCCCACTGTACCCTGTCTCATGCTGCCTCCACCGAGGAAAATCCCTCGGCCCCAACATAGAACAGATCCCCTCCCCTCCCTCCACCTCATCCGCGAAGGCAACCAATCCCCTCCTAGAGGCTGCCTTTGCCCACCCCTTGTCCCTGTCTGCCCCCGCTGGGGTTGAAGGCGACCAACTCTCCAACCCCGGCCCCAGACTCAGACAATCCCCGATCTGCCCTACACCCAATAGGGCTATTGCCTCCCACCATGCAACACCCTTGTAGAATAAGGCTCCCCTGTAACAAACCCCAGGGTTTCTTTTTCGGGGACAGCTAACTAGTAGTCTATACCCACAACTGGCCAGCCCTATCTCTCCTTCCCCTAGCTTCCCCAAGGCCAGGCGGAGCCCACGCTGACAGTCCTACCTCCCTTCCCCTGGTTTGTCCCCTAACTTAGGCCAGGCGGTTCTCAGACCTGCTGTGGGTAACTACCGTATATCTGTACCCTGGGGTCTCAAAAACCCTCCCTGCCTACCAAAGTTCCAGCCATAACCCCCGGAATCCTATCCCCCCTAAAACGTCTGCAAAATTCGATGTTTGAAATCCCCACTCAGGAACAAGAAAATCGTGAAAAAACAAAATAAAGAAAATGCGCCTCACCTCACTCGGGGGGACAGGCAGAGCAAAACCTACTAGTGAAATTACTGAGCAATCCCAACCTGAAAAAAATTGTCTGATGTTACTACTGTAAATAGTAGTAATCAAGAGGTATGTAATCAAGAAGCAGGTAATCGAGATATAGGTGATCAAGATATTGGTGATCTAGATATAGGTAATCAAGATATAGCTCATCCGGATGTAATTATTAATGGCTATTGGATAATTGGGTAACCAAAAACGGTACCCTGAGACCGAAAAGTTTTCAGATGATATTAGTATTGATGATGGTAKTGATGATGATGGAAGTATTATSGAGAAGTAAGTAATCGAGATCTAGGTAATCAAGATATAGGTGATCTAGATATGAGTAACCAARATGTAGCTAATCGGGATGTACGTGAAGCCGAAAACGGCACCCTGAGACTAAACGATTTTCAGATGATTGATGATGATGATGATGATGATGGTGATGGTGATGCTACTGATTTTGAAGATGATGATGATGATGATGATGATGATGATGGTGATGATGATGATGATGATGATGATGATGGTTATGACGACGACGACGCCCAGCGCCCTGCGATCACCAAAGGATGATGGTGATGATAACTCACCTCCTGTTGATGACGTTGGTGCTGCTGCTGGTGATGATGATGACGAGCAGCACCCTACAGATGATAATCCCGACAACCCTTGATGATGATGCGCCCAGCGCTCTGGTGATGATGATGATGACGATGATGATGATGGTGATGATACTGATTTTGATGATGATGAAGATGATGATGATGATGATGATGATGGTGGTGATGATGATGATGATGATGATGATGATGATGATGATGGTGATGGTGATGATGACGACGACGCAAAGCGCCCTGCGATCACGAAAGGATGATGGTGATGATAATCCACCTCCTGTTGATGACGTTGGTGCTGCTGCTGGTAATGATGATGACGAGTAGCATCCTACTGATGATGATCCCGACAAACCTTGATGATGATGCGACGGGATGATAATGATGATGGTGGTGACGAACCGCTCCCTGACAGTGATGATAACGATGATGATGATGACGATGATGATGATGATGATGATGATGATGATGACGGATGATAGTGACGACGAATCACCCCCTTGACGCTGTTGATAACGAAACTCAGCTTGATGACGAACAGCGCCCCTTGCCCTGATGATGATGACGAACAGCGCCCCTTGCCCTGATGATGATGACGAACAACGCCCCTTGCCCTGATGATGATGACACCCATCACCCTGACGACCACGCACACGATGACGTTAGTGCTGCTGCTGGCGATGATACCGACCAACCGTGATGCTGATGATGACGAGCATCAGCTCAATGACGAACAGCGCCCAGCGCTCTGATGATGATGGCACCCAGCGCCCTGATGAAGGTGATGATGAGCCGCACCCTGCTGATGATGCTGATGACGATGATGATGATGATGATGAGGATGAGGATGATACGGCGACGTAATGATCACGAAAAAATGATGATGGCGATAAACGAAGACACCGGTGATGACGGGCAGTCACTTCACTCGCACTTCACTCGCACTTCACTCGCACTTCGGGTTGCCCAAGGCTCTCTCCGCTGCACTCCACAGGCGTCACCAGAGGCGACACCTCACAGGCTCTATGCCACGGGCAGAAACGCAGCAGCAATGGAGTATGGACGCGGAACTCCCAGGAAGCCCCCGGGAGTCAGTCTAGTTCTTCCTATCAACTCGTGATACGGAGTAGACCAGCACCTTTGCTCCCCGCGCGTGCGCAAAACGCTTAACAAGTAGCCGCTGTAAGCTCGACACCCTGTCCCGTAACTCCCCTTAACCCCACCAGCGTCTCCATCACGCCATCGCCCCGCCTTAGTTCGTTCGTATGGATACTTCAAAGCGAGAGCGATGCAAGCCGGGCACCCTCCCGCTTCGCCGCCTCACTCCGCCGCCGCGGTTGATGCCGGGGCGCAGCGCTCCCGGTAGCGCTGCGCCCCGCCGTCGTTCCCCCGGATCTCTCTAGTAGCACCTTATGTTGTCTCAGAATTTCATCCATTGACCTGAAAAAACATGATTCAAGAGAAAGACTGCCAATTTTTCTAGACCAGTCAATCTCACAGTTCCATCCACAGCTAGATGGTGCTTTGTTAAACTTTGCTCCTTTTCCTTGAGTTTTTATCCGCACCCAATGCTTGTCTTTGTCTCGAAATTCACTCATGACCCACTTAACTGCTCTAATCACTTCGCTATGCGGGATTATAGTTAACATTTATTTTATATCGTATGTGCATAATAATCTTCGTGTCAGAATTCACTTTTGTGTTTTCTCATTCACCGTACTTAGTCCATTTTTTAGATCATTGGTTGCATGCAAATTGAAGTGCTCTTTCTTTGATTTTTGGATTATCAAATTCAACGCCTTAGTAAGCATCCTTGCCGCCGATCTTGTTGGATTGAGATACGAGGGACAAATTGATCTCTTTTTATTTAGGTCCTTATTTTTACTCATTATAAAGGCATGTTGAATCTTCCTATTCTGGTTCCATCTTGCAATCCTGTGTAGCTTTTCTTGCTTGAATTTGTGCTTCATCCCTTTGAGAATATCAACTTCTTCTGTTGTGATCTTCTGATAGTTACCGTTGGAGTTGAAAGTTGTTCTCATCCCTTGACTGTAATGCCAGGGGCATTTGACCAAAGTCCCACCTGGATTTCTGTCAAGTGGGGATATGACAAACCCACGCAGTGCTGTTTTTAGACCTTTGACATATTCCACGAGGATGTTTTATTTTTCGGTATATTCTCCGATTCGAATTTTTTGCGGATTTATTCTTATTCGTTCGAGTTCGGAGATCAGACCTGCTCTCCTCAGTGGCTGCATTGCTTCATTATGTGCATTTTCAATATCATCCAGACTGCAAATTCGACCGGGGTTTGGTACATTCCGTGAATTATGTCAAAACGGGTGTATTCCTGTAATATCTTCTTACCCGGACATGCTCGTTTTCTCTGGGCAAGTCAAAATCCTCACACGCACAATTTCTTTCTTCCTTTGCCACGTGCTTGTGATTGTGCAGCAGGCTCGTGACAGATCGGGCTTTTGTCCAGACCAACCGCAACCTTTTTTGCATCAGGACACTGAGTTCACCAGGTCTTATCCGATTTTTCAACAATTCACAAAGTTCGTTCCTTACTTTCGATTTCCGAATAGTCTCGTTAAAGGGAATTTTTGCAGTCGGTCGAATTCTCGGGTTGATTCCCAACCTCTTCTTCAATTCTCTGGACAAAATTCCTCTGAGAATCTATCTTCCGTTCTTATTCTTTACCCCCCGTAGGTCTTTAAGCATAGCGAACAGGTGGGGAGTTTCCTTCCCACCAAGCTCCTTTCGTTTCCACGACGCTCTTAGCAACCCGATGATCTCTGATTTTCGTCGATCTGTGTTAGATTTTGTTCTTATGACATCTTCGATGAGCCAGGTACCTCAATTTTCGATCTCCTGTCTTCTTGCCGGTTCTCGCTTTTCGACATCCTTCAATAACATTTTCTCGCTTTTCGACATCCTTCTTATGACATCTTCGATGAGCCAGGTACCTCAATTTTCGATGAGCCAGGTACCTCAATTTTCGACATCCTTCAATAACATTTTCTCGCTACCAATGCATATTTTGTTGGATCCATAAATCAATCGAGTCAGTCTCCATGTTTTCCCCCATCTTCTTGCCGGTTCGTTTTGTATTTCCACGGGTCGTTTTGTCCCTTTCAGTGAATTCAAGATTCTGAAGAGATTAATCGGTCCATTAATACCCATACTCGGCACAAAAAATTGCAGGGGTTTCCATTGAGTACACCGTACGTTCTCTCTTGTCTTATCTTTCTTCCGGTTACGACGTGGTTTCCTTCTTTGGTTGGACTTTCGCATATTCAGGGTGGGATTCTCTTGTTTGATGATCGTGCTTTCGACATCCTTCAGATCATTCTTACTTCCGACCCATAGGGGAATCATAATATAATTAAATTCTCCCTTCTTGCCCAACCACTTATGCACTTTGTATCGTGCGTTCCTCACATCCCTTCTATGCTCAACCCATCTGTCATCAATCCTTCTGCTGGTCTGTCCTACGTATGTTGTTATAAAAAACGGGGAGATCAGAACATAGACGCACGATTCCCCCTCCAGTAGAAGATCAAGATTATCCGTGGTAACCGTGGACCAATACTTAACGTACGTTTCCCCCCATCTCATGAATCCTTGCATAGAACCCCAAATAATACCAAGTCTAAGTACTTTTTCGATCTCCTTTCGGAGATCTCTGAGTTGCCGAGATATGAAAACAAGCCTTTCCAGCAGGCCGCAGACTCGCCGCATTGCTCGTTGCCATGCTCGTTGAGAGGAGACATCAATTCCCCGCGACATCGCGGGATTCCTCGTCATCGTCGGATCGGTTGCCGCTTGATTCTTCATCTGGTGTTTCTTCCTCGGATGACTCGAACTCTTCGCCATCTTCTTTGTTGACTAACTTGGTGAACAACTCCGAGTCTTGCTTCGCCAATTCCCAGGCGCATTTATCTTTTCTCTCTTTCCCTCCTATTTTCCCTCCTCTTTTGACACAGAGGGATTTTACTTCCTTCACGCTTATGTCCATATAATAATCGAGTTTTAATTTCATATACTCGATTATGTCTCCTTCCTTCTTCTTTTCCTCCTTGTCGTCCTCCTCCACCGATCCGCTCGTCACCTCTCCCTTGTTCGTTTCACTTTTCCCTTTGTCCTCCACAACCATCTTCCCTTTCTTTTTACGACCCTTTTCTTTCATTTCTTCCCCTGTCTTCTCTTTCTTCCCAGAGTCTTTCTTGGCTAACGCTCCGAGCAGATTCAGTATCTTGTCAAGTTTCTGATCGCCACCGTTTGTCGGGAACTCGTGCTTGGTGCGTATCTTCAACCTCGTATCTTCCTCATCGGAGGATATGGAAATCCTCGGTTGTCGAACAGTGACCGATCCTCCGGCGTTGCACGTTCGAGACTTGTCTATAGCCTTGCTCTGCATGGGGGAGTGCACCACTCTCTTCCTTTTTTCGATACTCCCCTCCTTTATCTTCTCTGCTTCCTCATCCGATTCTTCTCCCTTATCCGCTTTAGTCTTGGATTTCGTCCCGATATCGTCTAATTTCTCCGAGATCTTTTTCAGAGATGCCTCGAATGTGCTCGAAATCCACGATTTGATGCGCTCTTCGCGGCTCTCCGCTTCACTACTTACTTTCCCTCTTTTTCCTTTGTTGTTGCTTCCGCCGCTCGATTCTCCCTTCTCTCCTACCTTGCTGCTCTCTCAATCAGTTCCAGATGCTCCCTAGTAAACCAGGCTCGTTGCCCTGGCTCTGGGAATCTGTTCGCCGATGGTGGTTTGGAGGTCCTCCCGCATTCCACGCTCCTTGCCAACCATATGGTGATGGTTGGTACCCCGGCTGGTAGTATGCCTACGGCACTGGAGGCCCCATGAAAACACCTATTAGTAAAGACTGCATACCTTCGATAGTTCCACATGAAAAACCAATTAAAAGGTAACCTACATGGCCAATAGAACTAGAAAAACGTTGTGCGGTTACTGGCTTGTGGCTCCGGTACACTTCAACTATTTTGTTTTATTTCACTCCAGTTTTTTTCGCTGGCTTAGAGACGATATCCGTGACGAGGCTCATGCTTGGCGTCCGTACTCGAAAATGGTCCCTTCTCGATCTCGCAAGATTGCTGGTGCATGCTGGTGCAGTTTCAGAACTTGGCGACTGGTCCCGATATCGTCCTCCTGTATCTGACCCCGCACAGCTCTTCCAGATTTTTACACAGTTCGGGAGGGTCAGCTGGATTGTTCTCCGGAGAATGTAAAGATTTTGAGTCAACATTGACATACTGTTCCTGATTGAACAGCCAAATCGAGTGGGAGTCTGCGATTCGGTGATAGAAAGAGGTAATATTTTCCACCGTGTGCACCATACCGCCATTGTCCCGCAAGCTCCATGACTTATCTACAAAGGTAACAACACTGAAATGATCCGGACGATGTAGGATGTACACATGAAAATCAGGATCCATCTCTGCCATAGACAGGACTTCTATACGTATGTCAGGTGCAGTGCTTTCTCCTCTGGGCAGACAACACAGTGCTCCTCTTCTATCCAGCGGACAACGTCTATAAAATCAGAAACAGTATAAGCCTATAAGGGCAATTGTGAGCCAGGAGACTATTATGCACAGTGGCCTCGCTATAACATTATGGGATCATTTGATTCTGCAGATTGCATGGCAGGGGAAGGTGAATTCATTTTTCAGTCGGGGGCTCCATCGAAAAAGTAGAAGGTGGATCATTGTCAATTGGAGTAGGAGAGCAATTGGGGCAAGGTGGGTTAGAAGTCAGTGGGTCCGATGCAGGAACCGGAACTGATCAGCCACACTTGTACTCTGAGTGGTTGCTGGTCGTACAAATGCTACATAGGTGGTGGCACCTTGTGTCTGGTGAACACGCAGGTCTGCAACATTTCGAAAATCATCGCCACATTGTGGGCATGGAACTTGAAATGCACTATCCATGACTCGTGTTTTGTGGGAGCTGCGACTTCATTCCGTACAGTTGTGAGCATGGCATCAGAGTGTATCTCAGACCCCCGCCGGGGGTGTGATAATCATGTTGTTCATGTACAAATGAGGCCGTTGTCTTGGAGGTGGCAGTGGAGACGAGGAACGTCTTCGCCGAAGACGCCTCTGTGACGGCCGATCTGACCAGATCCGCCGGTGAGACCTCTGTGACGGCTGATTTGACCATGAATATTTCGATGATGAGGACAATGCCAAGAGGGAGGCATGCGGGGAGAAGGAGGAGGAAGAAGGGGAATTGATGGAGGGGATGATGTAGTGGACTATGTAAGCAAAGGAGCTGGTGAAGATGGTGGTGGTCGTGGAGGAGGCACACTTTCAGCAGCAGCCACATTGGTAGAACAGAGGCTTTCATCCTCTGTAGCCACTTTGACAATATTTATGTTGCCTGCTGCAGCTGGCTTGGTTTCCAACTGGATCGCAATATCCATATTAGTAGTTGTCGTTCCAGAAGGAATAACAGGGGAGGGAAGGACCACTGGATGTAGCTGTGTGAAGGGCTGATACTGCCTGTTCTCAGAATTAGCGCTGGGGAGTCGGTGGGGACTCACTACATGTGACAATATGGAGGGGTGATGTTGCTTGCGCTCAGAATCAGCATTCAGCAGCGAGAGGAAGGTTTGTCGTTTGGGTGGGGTATAGGGGGAGGAGATAGGACAATCAATAAGGGATGGACAGAACTCTGGTTGGCGAAATGGCAGGGGGAAGAGTATGCATGGCAGATGTGTGATAATAATAATAATAATAATAATAATAATAATAATAATAATAATAATAATAATAATAATAATAATAATAATAATGACATATGTCGGAGATGTTGCTAACCTCTGCCAGAAATTTGACAAAAACAATCTCGGGAGAATGATCTTCGCCGGGTGAATAGCTTAGGATAAGGGAGGGTAGGCAGACGTCCTCTGTTGGCGGAAAATGAGAATCATGGAGCTGGGCAGCGGCCTTATGCACGGAGGGGGCCTAGGGTTTGCTTTGCACGGTTATGACTGTGAAGGATTAGGGAGATTGGAGGGCAGTTTGTCACCCCTCCCCATGGCTAGATCTTCATACATGCTATGACCTGGATGATAATTGGGTGGGCAGTCAATCCCCTCGTGAGAGGGCAATCAGTGCTGTTCCGCCAGGTATATTGTCTCCAATCTTGTCAGTTGGACGCTGGACCTGGTTTCCAGCAGGTGATGCTCCCCACCAACAGACTGGAGCCATCTATAAGCTGGGGCTTGCTATTGGAGGATGCTCGTATCACCTCCAATAGCAGGTTGCCACATATGTTTCGTTTAAAAAAAAGAAAAAGAAAAAAAAAGAAACCACTTCGTAACACTGCTGGTCCTCGGATGGTCCGGGGGGGCCTCCCACGTCCGGGAGCCTGCCGGTCCGACCGGCAGGTCCACCGGTCCGGCA